TGATTTCTTCTCATCTTTGGCTGGGGTTCTCAACCTATGGGCCAAACCCCCCTAGGGATTAAATGGCCCTTTCACAGTGGTAGCCTAAGATGGTTAAGAAACACAGATGTTTACACTGAGATTCTTAACAGTAGAAAAATTACAGTTATGAAGTAACAACGGATACTTTTATGGTTGGGGTCTCCACAACAGGAGGAACTATATTAAAGGGTTGCAGTACTAGGAAGATTGATAATCATTGCTCTAGAGTCACGAGGTGAGTGGTGTCTTTCTAGAAGCTACTTCACCAGTCGGCAGCAGTGCAAGGATTTTGCTGGGTCCTTTGACTCATGTCCTGGGCAGGGTTGTCCATTAACTAAATGGCTCCCATCAGAAATGGGGACAACCAAGCTCTAGGGACCAGTACAGAGAGAGGATTCTATGTCCTGCTTGCTCGGGCTGTCCTGGGCCTAAGGTGCTGGCAGACATTTGATAAAGGTGCTTTGGCACACGTGTTGTGAGGATGGCCTATTGCTGGCGTATAGAATCATGGTGGGTCCCTAAACGATGGGTTGGGCCATGAACTCTATGGACGATGGGTCAATCTGACCATGTTCCCCCTCTGTCTCCAAAGGCCTGCTGAATGAGATGAGGTATGTCTCAAGGGAGATTTTCACTGTCAACCTGACTAGATTCAGGATCAGCTGCGAGAATTTATTTCTAGCTGTGACTTTTAAGGTTATTTCCAGAAAGATCTAACTGAGGCAGGGAAACCCAGCCTCAATGTGAGTAGCTTCATCTTATGGACTGGAGTCTGGGGTGAGTAAAGATGAAAAAACAAGCTGAGTACCATCATACATCCCCATGCTCGACTGAGGACACCCTACCATGGTGTCTCCCCCGCCATGAAGAACTGTTCCCACCCTGGCCGCCATGTCCCCCACCATGTTCACACCCCTGCCATGATGTCCCTACTGGGATAAACTGTCCGTTAGTAGTGTGAGCCAGAAGAAACCCTTCCTTAAGTTGCCTCGGCCCGGTGCTTTTCTGCGACAATGACAAAGATAAAGAATACATTGAGGAAGTGTACCTCACACCTGTCCTGCCCAGGAGCTGAGAGCTGAGTACACTCATGGACTGGAGGCCGCAGGGGGTTCGCAGTTGAGCCAGCATGAAGGAAAGCCAAGTGACCTCATTTCTTAGGATTTGGACAGGAGCTAATCAAATCTATCCGAGACTAACACGGGGAGGGAGTTCCATCAAGTGTGTGTTGACTCCAGGGTTCAGGCATCCTATTCAGGCTCATTATCCAGTAACTGCTTCTTGGGTCGTCTTTTGATTAGTAGATATGCGGTGTCTGAGTCTTTGCTGAGTGTAAGCTGATGGCTTCTTTCTGGCCAGAGACCTTGGAAGCCCCTGATCGTGAACAGACCACAGTCCTTGGAAGTCAGGTTTCCCTTGGAAGTCACAGGATAAGAGACCCAGCGTTTAGTAGGATAGTTGATAGCCCAAGGGTATAAGGCAAGCTATTCCCTCTGCCTTCCCACAACCCGGTAGGGCTATCCTCAGAAATAGGACATCTGAAGAGAAGGTCCCATACAGACAGGTAGCAAGGATCGAGAATAATGTTCCTTTAGAAAGAAGGCTTCGTAAAGCAGGCTGAAATTGTTGAGGATCTTAGAAAAAAGTATTTTTTGAACATATTGGAGAGCTCTTAGGCTCTGAGACGTGGGGGTTAGGGTGGGGCACAGCTGAGTCAGATGATCAAGACAGGACAGATTGTTACCAGTGATTCAAACTGGCCTCCAGGCTGGGAACGGACTCCAAGCAAGTTGAGCATGGCCCAGGGATGGTATCTCAGTCCCTTTCTGTTGCTATGACAAAATACTTGAGACTAGGCAATGGAGAGAGAGAGAGAGAGAGAGAGAGAGAGAGAGAGAGAGAGAGAGAGAGAGATTTTGGCTTGTGGTTCTGTGACCTGGGAAGTCCATGGTATAGGCAGCAACTCCATGTTGTTTTAGTTCATAAAGGACAGCACAAGAACAAGCAGGGGGTGAGGGTGGAATGAGGGGGTGAGTGGCCATCCTCCATCATGATTTGAATCAGTCAGATCCATTGTAGCCCCTCAGTTCTGTGAGAGTGAGGACTCACTGGCATGCAAAATGCATCAGTACACTCCTGGGGACTGTAGTCCAATAGTGAAACTGTACCACTGAGACCTACCGTGTGGCTCTGTCTCACTAGGCACCAAGCATTCACACGAGTTTTGCTAGAGACAGACCATACTCCAGTCACTGTGGACAGGCTGAGATACCTGCGGACATTCCTGGGGGTTAGCGTGAGAGGAGAGATAGAGAGGAGGTAGGCCTGGGCAAAAGCTTCCTATCTGCCCATAGTTTCCAGGGAAGGTGGCCTCCATAGACCACCTTACCTATGAGAGTAAAGAAAATGTCGAGGAACTAGAAGGCCAAGGGTCTGGACAGGCCCATGGGAACCTTGCGTGGAGTGGGGGTTTGCTGAGCTCTGCTCCTGTCCTGATGCCTCAGCTCTCTACTTTTCATCATGGCAGTCCCGTCCCCAGAGCCTGTAGTCTAGCTGGGGTGCGGGGAGCTTCCAAGCCTGGACTTCGGAGCGTGCCCAGTGGCCCACGTTCAGCCATGTCCAGGACACTCAATGGCAAAAAAAGGCACTGCAGATCCATGCTTACAAGTTCTCTAGTAAAGTGATGGGAGAGAAAGCCACTAATAGGCTCTCTGCAGCCTCAGCAATAGCAAAAGCAGTGAGTTTGGGTGCGGGGTGGGCTTCTCAGGTGACGTCAGCTCAGCAGCTCCTCTTCTGTCACCCCAGGACCTGACTTAGACCCTGACTTCTGTTCAGAGCACAGGCAAAGCAGATATGGTTTGTTTTCACTGCGTCACAAAACAAAACAAACACAACCCAAACAAAATACAACCCAAACAAAACAAAGGCATGGACAGTTCCCACCGGAGCCTCCTAGTAGCAGGAGGGGAACAGCTGTCATTTTAACCCTTTGTGGATGGAGTCCATGGCCAGAGAGTGAGGGCCCCGGGACAGGGTATGGGGCAACCTCAGGAAGCTGAAAAATGAGGACCAGGGGTGGGGGTGGGGAGACTGGGATGGCCTGCTTCTCTAACAGCTGGAGAGGAGGAAATAGCATCATGGATGCCTATAACTCCCACAAGATGGCTATCCTGTTGACTCCTGTCAACTCTTATAGGTTCTGGCAGCATGGGACTTTCCCCTGTTGGCAGGCATCCCCCCCTCACTGCCCACATGAGTGGGATTCAAGTTTTGGTAGGCCCTTGCAGTAGGCAGAACACATGACCTCTCCAAGAGCCTTGGTAATGGAAACCCACTAATAGATTTCCCTCCAATGTCCTCAAAATGCCCTTTTTCAATTAAATTTCTTTTTCTAACTCAAGGTTTTGCCCTCCCCTTAAGTTTCTCTATTTTACTTCTCTGGCATATGTATATTAAATTGTTATATAATTCTCACTTGTTTTTTTCTAAACAAATGAGAGTTTCACCCATTAGGTCAAGGCTCTGAAGAATCAGCTTAGGGCCAGGAAGGGTGGTCTATAGCCTGCTCCTGCTCAGCACTAACTCTAGGGCTCCTCCCTGGGTCCCAACACGTCGGCTACGAAGTAACTGATGAGGCTTTTGCATCTTCCAAGGCTTTGGAAAGTTGATGAAATTCATAATAGAGCGTTCTAGAAACGAAAGTGAGACTGCCATTGGATTTGTCTGACATTATCTGAGGACTCTTTATAGACTTTACACAGACCTGGTCCTGTCTAGGATAGATAGCCTCTCTAGGTTGGTTTTTTATGGAAGTAGAGAAAAATGTTAAAATCCCTCTAGAAGAAGGCTCAGGGGGCCTGAGGTCCTGGAGGAGGTTGTGGGAACCTTTCGGAGAGTCAGGTCACACTGGCATACGCAGTCCCTGTCACCACCTCCACCTGGAGCCAAGCCCAAGGCCCCTCTGCATCTGACCCCTGCTGGGCACCATCACTCCACAATGGGCTCCGTCTTTCAATGGACCCCTTTCCTCCCAACACTTGGAATGTCTCCTCCATGGGAGATAACACAGGTGATAGTCCAGAGGCCCAAGAATAATCCAGAAACAAAGACCAAGTATTCCACCAAGCCTGACAAAGCACACTGTCATTCTATTTCCATACTCAGACAAGGGCTGGAAAGACCCTGTCAGACCCTCAGACAACGGCCTTCAGACTACAAGTAGTCTCCTAGCTATGTATCTAACACTGTTGGTCAGTTCCTGTCCCCCTCCCCAGCACCCTCACCTCAGTATCTCCAAGACCTTTTTGTCCCCTCAGGTAGTACCTAGACAATCCACAGTATGCTAGAACTGACTAAATTTCCCAGCTGCTTCTTCCATGGAATGTATTTTCAGTGAGCAAACACAAACAGGGGGGTCACTCCACAATTTTCTGACCCACTGTAGCTTCCTGCTACCCACTCCGCCCCCTGCACCCACCCTTACACCCCACAGCACCAGGAACACAGTATCCCGTATTGCTTCGTTCTCATGTGTGTTTATTGAGTGCCCACAGAGCCCGTGGTACTGTGCTCAGGATTCAGAGCCACAGTCTAGCCAAAACGAGACCAGAGCTAGTACACAGAATGCTTCATAGCTGCGTAACATCTGTTAAGGGATCGGGATGGGGAAAACTAATCACGAAACAAATTCCTATTCAAAAGCAACAGAACCTCCTCTGAGAGTAATATAGAGTCTAGGCACATACACCCACACTCACGCATACACACGCGTGAGCATGTGCACGCACACACCTCAGCATGAACACCCAAATAGGCCCACTTAGTTGTATATGCGTGCATATACAAATGTTTGTGGGCATGTAAATTAATATAGAATCTGTATGAACACACACTCATGTGTGTGCATGCACAAGTGCACACACACATACATAAACACACTCACACACACACATACCACTGCACAGAGAATCTGGCTTATGCTATCAAAGACACTACGTCTCCAGGTTCTATTGGAAGTAATCTGTCCTAGATGTCTGCAGCATGCAAAACTTGGAAGATCCATAGAGTCAGTTTAGGAGGACAATGGGGGCACACGGGTAGGCTTCCATCCTCGAAGCCCCCACCACAGCACAACAGGCAACAGCAAAGCCTTTGTGAAGGGCTCCAGGGGCAGAGCAGAGGAGCTGGAGGCTCCCTGTCATGGTGGGGCCCGGGAGAGCTCTGGCAAGTTCACCTATCTTCAAGGCAGAGTGCAAAGCTCCAGTTATCGAGTGTGGTCCTCCTAACAGTGTTCCTTGGGGCAGCGTGGCAGACAGAAGTGAGTGCCTCTTCTCGCTTGCTCTCTGCAGCTTCCCACATGTGCTAACGCATTTTGTAGTCATTAGATACAGATGTTTCACACAGCTGTCCCTTAAAATCCAAGTCTACTGTGAAATCGAGGTCTCGCTGTGAAGAAAGAGCAAAGAGCCACAGTGTGAATCTGGGGAGGACGTCACAGCCCTTCCCAGGCCTGGGACTTCTCCTGGAGCCCCAGGGACAGGCAGTCATTTAGTTTCTAGCTAAGGAGTCTCCACAGTTCTCAGGAATCTGTTCCGGTGCCCCATTAACCTCACAAGAAGGGCGCTGACAGCTAACCTAAGCCTTCCTGTCCACACACGAAAGCAGTCCCGGGATTTCCTTCCTCTAGGTGATAACTGAGGAAGGTGATGGGTCTGGCTTGACATCACCCTCAACCATCCTGCAGGCTTTCAGTATCTGTGCAGACACAGGGACATCTCAGAAAGGTTCCACCAGGCCAACTGGAGAAATGCCCAACCAACATTCCTTCTGTACCAGACACTTGAGCATTTACTGGCTCAGCTCATCCTAAATGAGGCAGAGCCCATTTATGCAACATCCGTTCTCCAAAGTTCTCCTTTGAGCTTCTGGGAGCTGTCCTCAAGGTTGAGGTCAGAGTCCAGAAAGCCTCTAGCCACTGGGGTTTGGAAGAGTCTACAATGAGGTCGTCTAATTAGGCCCGGTCACCTGCAAACACAGCTACTGCCCGCCTCCTCCAGAAGCTTCTCATTTGTACACAAGACATTAGACCAGGCAGATGACTTCTGGGAGCTCCCTGGGAGTCAGATCCATGTGTCCCTTCTCCTCAGTGGTCCTGGCATGCAAGGCTCCCTCAGACTCACCACATTTTTGGCATTTGGCTTCATGGATATGGTCCCGTAGATTTCCTCCCCCCTCCGGACAGTGAGGTAGTCTTCCAAGTAGAAGACGGTCTGCTTCCAGTGGGTGTAGGGAGCATCGGGGGCTGGTGGGGCACACAAGAGGGGGAAGAAGAAAGAGGCAGAGATGAACAAGAGTCAGCTGAGGCCCAGGACCCACACAGAAGATCGGAGCTTGCCATGGCCAAGGGCTCAAGCAAGGCAAAGAATGGCAAACATGGGCCCAAGCATGGCAAACATGGCTCTGCCAGGTCATGCCTTTCCCCCATTCCTTCTGCCTTGCTAAACCATTAGATTACATTCTTAAAGCCAGGCACCAAGGTCATTTATTTGGTGACTTCTTCCTTCTGAGGCTATCAAAGTCCAGCTAGCAAAGTCCTGAAGTCCAACAATCAAAAGCCTCCTTTGGCTCACCTAATTGACATGCCCAATCAAAATTAACCAACTCACCCTGGCACTGGCTTTCTCCATTCCCTTTATAAACTACCATTTGCCTACGGGCAACATCTGCCTATGGGCCACATCTGCCTCCTCTCTATCCAGAGATAGTCTGTTTTCTCTGTGGGACAAATACCCCCGCCCCCTTTCACTTGTTCCCTTCCTTCTCTTTTTCCCCTGTCCTCTACCTTCTGTCTTTGTCTCTTATTCCCTGTCCTTTGTCCCTCTGGTACAAAAACCTCTCTGTTGTGTTGAGAACTTGGTCTCGGGGTTTCTTGGGCTGGCGCTTGCCCTTTCACGGAGGACTCCATGACTTCTGCCCATGCCCCACTCAAGGGCTCAGGCGTCTAGACCAAGCCCCAGAACTCCTGACTCAGCCCCAGCCCCACTGAACTGGTGACCTTAGTGAGGGTTCAGAAGAGAGGCAGCCTTGTGCCAGGGGCCAGCTGGCATGCTGAAAGCCCCCTCAGCAGCTAATCCCGTGTGCACACACGAGCCTCCTCCCTATGCTCCCATGTTAGCACAGTGAGGCATATAGAGGAGCCCATCCTCTCTCCATCGTTTGTAGGTGTATGACATCATTTGTGCAAACTTTACCGCTCAACCAGTCTCCCAGCTTTACCAATACCTCTCCTTTTTTTATTCCTCCATCCTTTGAATAGCTTCTCTTGCCCAGGTGTTTGCCCTGCTGCTGTATCCAGCACTCTGGCCCAGTCCTACTGTAAATGCCAGCTGTGCCTTTGTAATAGGACCAGGAAGAATGAGATTCTTCTTCCCCAGATCACCCCTCCTGCATAGTTCAAGGCCATAATGATGCTTGCGTATCCCTGGTACTTGCCACTGGGCCCATGTAGTCTCCAAATAACATGGAGGGGCCTATATCTTGGGATGCAGTCCTTTTCTTTGGTAGTGACTGCCTCTGAAGCACTCTCCCCACTCACTGCATCCTCATCCTTCAAGGCCAGCCTTCCTGGACCACTCCAGCCTGGATCCGGTGCTCCAAGGGCATCCAGAATTAATGTCATGACACTGTCTAGCATGCCTCAGAGTGAACACCTGCTCCTCTCTTGCTTAGATCCTCGGCAGGTTCTCAGAGAGTGGAACCAGGCCAGCCTTGCCTACCACTGCTTAGCTCTCACCAAATTCAATCTAGAAGCCCCGAGTCGAGTGTCAAGTGGACACTGTTAAGTGGACAGTGTCTAGAGCCCAAAGTCAGCATCTTCAGCATCTTGTGATGTGTGGTGTGCCCAAAGATGGTCAGCTGAAACTTGTGGGCTACAGAAGGCTCATTTTAGGGTGAGCTCCTCTTGGTTTAGACCCTCGTCTTCCCCCGATGGACTTTCCATCTCGCCTAAAACCAGTGCTAATAGCAGCAAGACTTGGGAAGGGCATAAGGGCCTTCAAACACATCGAAGACTTTTTGCAGGGAAGACTCTGCCTTACATACAGCTTGGGCAATTACTAGGAGTGAGTTGTGCACCTGTGGGAGGAATTGGAATTGTCTCACAACCATGGGAACGGAGTGGCTTGTTCTTCCGCGGAGGGTTGAGGACACCAACTGATGTCCTCGATTGTCATGTGCCAAGTCAGACCTAAAATATCTTTCAAAACCCCAAGATCTATTTTAGCGATGGCAAAGGACCCCCACCCCCAACCCTTTGTTCCTTGCAGTGAGCTGGCTTGATCAAATGTCAGTGGTCAGATAGAGACAGGACAGCCTTCAGTGTGTGCATTTGGAAATCAATGAAAACTCAAGGTTACAAGAGAAGACATAGCCTGAGCCTCTGGAGGGGAAGGAAGACAGAGATACCATAGCCTGTGCCTTGCAGACCCTGGGACCTCAAGGCCGCCTAGCGCTAACCCAGGCATGCTGCTGTCTACAAACCACCTGCTCTCAGCATGCTTCCTGCCAATGACCTCTAAATAAACTGTCAAAAGACAAGCTCTGGCTGTGTGTGCAGAAAGCCGGAGTGTGACTGACAGCACCCTCGCCCCCATCTCCACCTCCACCCACTCAGGCAGGTGTCTCTGCCGTTCCTAAAGACCTTCAGCTAAGAGGATCTGAGCTGCCTCCTCCGTCACCCAATCAGAGATGCCCACGGTCTGATCGTCACTGGCTTAGGTTTGCTGCCCAGTGAGGCCAGTTGGCCTCTACTGGATGACCCCAAAGCCCGAGTGCCATCCCCGGGTAGAAGAAATATTGTCTCAAAAGGTTTCCCAAACATCATTTTCATAGTGGAACCAGCAACCATGGTCTAATGGTGGCAACGTGCTTTCTCGTCAGAGTTTTCCGCCGTGTCCAGTAGGAAGAGCACAATTCAGAAGTTTGACTCTGCTTCATTTTGCATTTCTAGATCAGTAATTCCGGGGAGGTGGTACACCAAGGGGATAGACATGTCACGACGTAATTTCTGTCCCCATGGCTGAAGTGTCTGTCTTCTTTTGCATTATCCGGAGTCGATGTGGTGGGAAGAACAATGGTCCCTAGTTCTGTAGTATTGTTGCCACAGGTTTGTACTGTGACCCTGGAAATCCTGGGCCATCACGTGGAATATAGGCCATACTGCTTATTCCCTGAGGTATGGTAAGGGTGAGATGGATTGTAAGGAATGACCACACATCTCTCTCTGCCTGGGGACACAGTCCATGTCTGTTCACCCAGCACAATCAGGACCAGCTCACCTTTTCGCTTTCCAAGGCCTCCTGAGTCATATGGACACCCACACTTACAACCTATAAGCCGTGGCAGCTGATAGTGAGTCTTTGAGGAAACTGGTATGTAAGTATCCATCCATTAACTGGTATGTAAGTATCCATCCATAAACCGTGGGAGGAATCCCTGCAAAGATACACTGCCTCACTCCAGTGCTCTAGAATGCCTGAGCCGTATCTGGAATGCAGCAATGCACCGGGTGGCTCTCACACTATACCATGCATTCAGGACTCTGAATGATGTCTACAGCTCTCTTTGTCAGTGACCAAGTGTCCCTCCCTCCCCAGTCCCAACCCACGACCCAGGATGGCATAGATTTCAGTCATTATGAGGATGGGTTCCTCTTGGGAATATTCTGAACCCACATGTCTAGACCCACACATCAGCCCAACCTCGCCGGTTCTAGGTTACTGATGACTTTCGCTCTCCATTTGGGGTGAGTATGACCAATGCTGTCTGCAATGCTGCAAGGATAAGAACATGCATTTAAAGGTCTTCTGCTTAGGGTGCCTGTCATGCACCATGCATGGCTCTGCATTTGTCCAGCAATGCCCAAGATGGACACGGCATTGCCACCCTCATCCTTCCTGTAGACCCGAAGTCCTTAGAGGACCATCAGGCAAGCAGTGGGTAGCGCAAGCAGCCCTATGGGAGCTATGGGCTTTGGTGAGGAGTGGAAACACGGGGAGCCATGAGCGCCATTGGGAGTGGCCTCTCGTGTAATTATTTTCCTGTGCTCTGAGGAAGAGAATTCAGCTTCCTGTTTCCCTTCCTAGCAGTTAAGTAATTAGATTTCTTTGTAGGCTGTAAATTTTCTAGCTGTATATTTAGAGTTGCATTGTCTAGCGGAGCTTCTTGGAAATTAAAGACGGTGTACAGAGAGGTTTTCTCGACCTGGAAAATGACTCAGTGCCACAGGATGGCAAATCAGAAAAGAGGCTGCCTGAAACCCACAAAGTCACCCGCTCAAGGGCATCTCTCGTGATTAACATCCTACCTTGGAAAACCTGATATTTGAAGCCAGCTCCCCTTAGGGCCACTGCCTTCCGCCCACCTTGCAGCTTCCCTGGGTTGTACGGCAGCATCAGATTTCCTCCCACCCTCACAGGGGATGAGTTCAAGGGGACGGGGACAGCTGTGCCCATGGCTGGCGGAGCTTTGGGTGCTTCTGCCCGACGCTGTAAAGCAGCCAGAACCATTAGCAGAAGCATTTTCGAGCTACACAGTATGTGATTTGCTTTTGTGAGTGGATCCCCCAGAGCTGGATGCACTGAGTCTGAGAAGTGAAACTCAGTGGGGAGCCAGCAGGGAGGGGCACCAGCCGGGGAGGGGAGGAAAGCATCCACAGATTCCTACAACCAATATCTTGTTTTCGCACATGCATGATTGTATGAAAACTCTTTTTACCATAGCCAGGATGTAAGAAAACATAACTTAGGATAATGCCTTCGGGACTGGATGGCTAGAAACGGGACATTTAGAGAAAAAATTAAGAGCTACCAATAGCATCTAAGCCACTAAGTTCTGAGGTGAGCTCGCAGGGAGTTCTTCTGTGAATACAAGTTAGTTTATTTACATTTATTAATTATAAATATAACCCTATATCATTTATTCATCATCCATTTTAGCTGATATTTATATTTTAATTAAGTATTGCTCAACAACTCCTGCACTTACATTCCAACAGAAATAATAATAAATTTGTTTCCAGCTACTCTTTGCATTGTAGTTAATAATTTAGCTCCATTCTAGTTAATAATTCATCTCCATCCTAGTTATTGAGTTAGGTGGTAAGTTCATGAGTACTCATTATATTAATAAACAAATAAGCCAAAAGTGAATCATGCATAGGTTGTCCAATTGTGATAGTATGTCTTGAAACAAACACTGGGATTTATCTAATTATATACATCTATGAGCCTAAAACACAAAAGAAATTACTCTGCCAGTGACCAGAGTGAAGACTCAGAGTAGAGTCCACTGCCAAGCCCATGTGGTTCTAGCAAAATCTTTGACACACTAAACTGATGCTAACCTCCCAAGAGGGCAAAGAGACTAACCAACCGCACTGTTTCCTCTGAGTCTCAGCAAGCAGGATAGGAGGACACGAGAGGCATGAAGGTGTGGTGAGGGCAGAGGGCACGCCCTGGTGAGGAGGCAGGCTTGCCCTCACAGAGGGAGTCAGGCTCAGTGGAATCCTCAGCTGTCTAGTTCAAGATGGTCTTGCTGGAGGGTAGTGTTTCTCAAACTCAAGGAGGAAGCATGGATACCTGGAGGCTTTGCTAAGTCACAGAAGGCTGGAGCACCCTCAGGGTTTCTGAGTTGGTAGTTCTAGGGAGAGGCCATCCTAGATCCAAGGGTTGCTGAGGCTATTGTCCACAGAAAATTCTTTGAGTGTCACTGCACTGAGACACGGGAATCAAAGATTTTAGGGCCTACAAACAAGCTTCTTCAGCCCAGCTTTGTGGAGTTCTGGGCAAACAAGAGGGAATGTCTTGCTAATGACTCAAAAGCAGAGTTCAGATTCCACCTGGACTCATCATTGGCTTTCATCTTGAGCGGGGCAATGGTAGGGGGATGGTCCACAGACTGAGGGGACTGAGCCTGGTGCACATACTTCAAGTCCTCACCTTCTTTCAGGAAGCCCAGAAGCAACAGCTTTGAGTCTGGGCTGAGCTTTCCCAAGCCTCCTCCTCACGGGGTCATCAGAATGTCAACCCAGCCACCACAGAGCCAAGGAATCAACTCTAGACAGAAGTCCAGTAGGGTGCTGGCACCAGAAGTAAATCCCTTGAAGGGAAGATAAGCCTTAGTGAGACTCATGGGCCCCACAGCTTCTTCTAGAGTGCCCCTGTCAAAGGCTCTCTCATCACCCACTGGGCGGGCTCTACACTATCATCATCGGGAGATGGGAGAGACAGAGCTGGATGCCATGACTCCCCCATTACCACCCTCCCCTCCCCATTGCTAGACTGTGTCTCCTTTATCCTTCAAGTTCAAATACCATCTGACTTCCCCCTCTCCAGGCTGCTCCTACCCCCTGGGAAAAAGAGCTCAGCTCACCTACTGACCCTTGAAGGAGGGCAGCCCTCATCAATGGCCCAGATCATGGGGATCTCTGGTATTTCCTAGGGCCAAAAGAGCACCTGTTTGGCATAGATGATAGAGCCCAGGAGACACTAATCTTTGTAGTCAGAGGTTGTGTACTAGATGTAGGAGAAGACTTTCTGGGATTTGGACAAGATTGTTTGTTTTTTGTTTTGAGACAAGGTAGGTTTCCCTCTATATCCCTGGCTGGTCTGGAACTTGCTGTGTAGGCCAGGCTGGTCTCAGACTCACAGAGTGCCATTTGCCTCTACCTCTCAAGTATTGGTACTGTGTGTGTCACCACACCTGGCCTGATATTGAATTTGCTTAAAAGGGTTCCTGCCTCCTGTCCACAGGTAAAAAGGCATCTCTGTCCCCATGTAGCTAAGAAATAAGGGGTTATACCTGCTAGAACATTTCCCTTTCCACTAGCACACCTACCTACTCAACCCCTGAGGGCACACGCCCAGTTTCCAGGGACTCATATGGAGGGCATTCAGCCTCTAGACCTTTATCCTGGCAGCTCAAGCAGACTATTGCAGAAAGAGAAGGGCAATAAAAGCCTTCTGATAAAGGACCCTTCCGTTCCTGGGTCACAGCCCAAATGAGCAGGTAAAAACAGTGGCCCAGTGATAAAGAAGTCCCCTGAGCTTAGGGCATGGGAGGGAGCTCAGAATGGCTGTCCTGTAGGTGGGAAAGATGGGGGAAAAAGTTGGGCATGCCCTACAATAAGTCTGAGGGCCCACTAAAGGGCCAGGGCCAAGCCACAGAACTCTCTCTAGTCAGGCCCAAAGGCAGTGAGGCGCCTCTTAAGGCAGACTAGGCAAAGGGCATGATTTGAATGTGTCTGCCAAAGTTCGTGTGTTGGAAATGTGGTCTTTAGAGAGTATATCGATGTTGAGAGCTGAAATCTTCTGGGTGGGGAGTATCTGGGTTTTGGGGTTCTATCCTCACGAATATACTAATCTGTTCATATATAGATGTACCTATGGGTTATCATATGTCTTAGTTACAGTTCTATTACTGTAAAGAGACACCATGACCACTGCAACTCTTATAAAAGAAAGCATTTAGTTGGGGGCTTGCTTACGGTTTCGGAGGGTGAGTCTGTGATAATCCTGGTGGAAGTCATTCAGGCATGGGGCTAAAACAATAGCCTAGCTTTGCAACCTGACCCACAGGTAGCAGACAGAGAGAGACTGGTCCTCATGGGCTTTTGAAAGCTCAAGGCTCAGTCTCAGTGACACACCTCCTCCGGTGAGGCCATATACCCTAACCCTTCCCCCAAAGTTCTGCTCCATGGTGACACCGCATTCAGATATACGAGCCTATGGGGGGCATTCTTATTCAACCACCTCTTCAGAGGAGTGGGCTACTGAACAGGAAAACTCTCTCTCGGGCTTTCTTTGTTTCACCTTTGGTACCATTTGCCATGTTATGGTGCAGCACAGAACCCCCATCAGATGCCAAGCTAATGCCAACACCATGTTCTCAGACTTACCAACCTCCAGAACTGTGAGTCAAATGAGTTATCCAGACTCAAATGTTTGGTTATAGCAACAGAAAGCAGACAGAAAGAGTGGAAGTCATCTTCTGGGATCACAACCACACAGACTTAGTGATGAATGGACGCAGGTGGGAAAAAGCAGGAAGGAAAGAGAGAGACCAGTTCATAGCCCAGAGGGAGATATGTCAGTCTTCCATAGAGGCCGTCACCTCTGCACACACCTCCCACATGTCCTGGGGCCAGAAGGGGCTTCTGTCAGAAACCCTGTGCTGCTCTTACCCCTCACACAGAATCTTTTCACAGATGCCAATCAGACAAACATATATTAAAATCTCCAGAAGACAGGCCCAGTGAAATGGATCAGAAGCCAGAGACTCTTGTCACATGAATTCAGTGACCTTAATTTGATCACTGGAACCCACAGAAAGGTAGCAGAAAGAATCAACTCCAAAATGTCTTTTGGCCTCCACAGGCACAAGCATGCTGCAACACCCCCCCCCCCTTCACACATCATAACACACATTATAGTAACAATAAATTACCCAGGCCATGTCTCCTACCTTGCCCTCCCGCAGCATTACGCAGGGCATCATAAATGAGCATAGTGAGGTGTCTGGAGATGAGCCCACCCTCATTATCAGCCACTTGCAAACCCAGGAACAGAGACAGCAAGACTTGAATTATTCCTCAAAACAGTGAGATCTAAGTCTATCTCTGGCCCCAGGTGCAGACATGACATTCTGGACTGCTGGGAACTGCGTCCATCAGATTGGCCAGTGGGTGTGTCTATGGCGTATTTTCCTGATCGTTAATTCATGTGGGAAGACTCAGTCACTGTGGATGGTACCATAGCTAGGCAAAGTGTATCTGGGAAGTATAAAAAAGGGCGTGAATGTGAACCCGCGAGCCAGCCGATGAGCAGTGTTCCTTCAGTTCCTGCTCTGTGTTCTTGCCTACGCTTCCCTCAGTGATAAATAAGCTGTAGGAGTAAACAAACCCTTTCCGCCTCAAGTTGTTTTGTCCATGGTATTTACCTCAGTAACAGAACGCATGCTCAGACAGCCTCCGTTTTCATGTGCTCACACATGTGAGCACACATGAACACTCAAACTCCCTTGGTTTAAGGTAGACCTAAGTAAGTAAGTCAGCGTGATGATCTCCATGAACACTTGCCATACTTGCCCCTCCAGACTGTCTTCCTGCACAGTGGCCCCTTAGGTGGTTCTGCTCTCACCCTCAAAAGTACCTCATATTGCTTTGCGGTGAGTTCAGCCTCTATTCTGTAACTATACCATGTCTCATAGGAATTCTTTCCTTAAGGACAACAAGGATAGAAGAACAGAAGGGAGGCCAGAGTGAGCTCCTGGTGGCTCCCATGCCAGCTCTCAACTCTGGAAACTCTACCCCTATCGTGTTTGCCTTTCTTTTGGGAAGTCAAGAGAGCAGGGGCTGCATCCTCTCCTCAGATGGAGGAAGCGCGTGAGATGCCAACTGATGTCTGGCCAAGTCAAGGCCAGTTCTGGTTTCTACCCATAAGCCTCAAGGAAGCACAGAGGGAAAGCTACACAAAACTCACCTGTAGAAAAACCCATTTTCTTGTGGCACTTGGTAAATTCAATATTAAAATAGGTGACAAGGGCATGGACATAGTCGTTGCGCTGTATCTGCAGGCAGAAGGCAGAGGTGAAGGACAGCTCTTCCGTCTTCACAGTGTAAATGTCCACTTCCTGCAGCCCAGAGGAGAGAGAAAGCGGAGGCTGACAACCTCTGTCTTGTCAGGGGGCCCGGTAACCTCCCCCCTAGAAAAACTGGATCAGCCACTACTTTGGAGTGACTTCCAGACCCACCCACCACCCTCGCAGCTACCTCCTCCATCTTTTCTAAGGGGATGGATGCTTGGAGAATGGTGTGAATGGAGTTGCATCTAAAGCTGAGCGGAACTGAACCAGGGAGGTACATCTGCTGGGGGAGGAGGCCAGAGGGGCTGAAGGTTGAGATCGGTGTGATCTTGGAGACCACACATCACCAATGCAAGTTAGAGTGTCTTCCAATGGCCAGCCAAGCGTTGCTACCAGCCTCCAGTCATTCAGAAAGTGTGCCCCCCCCCCGCCCAAACCACCCCACTTAGCATCTTTATTACCTGGGAGAAAATTCTGAGAGGGACAAGGAGAGTCACTGCAGACTTAATCAAAACATCAAAAAGGCAGGGCCCTCCAGGCCCCTCTCAGAATTTTCTTGGCCCCCACCATTTTTTTTTATTCAAGTTCTCCAAGTGTTGCCTCAGGACTGAAGCATAAACGGACTGGAGGACGTTCCGCTGACCATTTATAACAAGGCTGGACAGGTTTAAAAAATAAATAAGAGGGGGAAACAGGAGGCAAGAAGTCTCAGTCTGGACTGGGGAGAGGCAGAACACAAAGAACTAATAATTCTCGCAAGTTCAGCGGGAGAGTGACTGAAAATCGATGTTGCGTGGGGAGCAAGTGCAGGGGACAGCCGGTTCTTCTGCATGAGAAGGATGCTGAATGACCTGTTGTTCATTGGCTGAGGCAAGAAACCCTACTGGGGACTTAAGAGGCAGATGCCAATGAGACTTAAAGAACGTTCCTCGTGTTGGGGTGTATGGCAAGAACCACTCTTTGGGGGAACTCTGGAAGAGACAGACAGGTACCTGTGTGCCTGCTGGCTCCAGGTAGTGCTCCAGATCCCCAACAATAAGACCCATGAAGAGACAGAATGACACTGGGCAAAGGGTTCCCATCTCTCTGTGTTTTCAGGATCATTTGAAGGAAAGGGGTTACAAAGGTCATAGGACTTGCAAAGAGGAAATGGAGTCACAGGAGCAAAGCAGGTCTCCTGATATGATGGGGCCTGAGTGAGCCACCATGACCCATGGGGAAGGGGAAACGCTCTCAGACTGGCCAGTAAAAGGGCAGATGCAGGGTTAGAAAGTGAAGCCCTCCGGGAGTTGGCAGCAAGCGGCTGGACTGCAGGGTCGGGTGGAACCTTCCGTGAGATCAACACTATATGGTTTCTAGAGCCCAAAGACAGAGAATGAGAGCTAATAAAAGGGTAAGCCTTGGGTCAGAGGGGCCACCATCGATGGTCCAAAGCATCCCATCCATCCTAATGAGTGACACCTTGACCTTTGTGGACAGTCCAAGGATGCTGATCCTCTGCGCACAATACAGTGCCTTCCAGGTCCAGGCATCTTCAGCAGCAATGGAGAGATCACAGCTGTCTTCCCTGCCTTCCGTCTACAGGGCCAGCTGAATGTCTGCTCCTACTGATGTGGATGCCCTTTACCCTCCTGCTGGGAATCACAAACTGTTGGGTTCTGTCTGCATTCAAGGCTGCTCTCTTCCCCATCCCTTTGACAGAGATCCTGCCTAGGAGTGGGGTGGGGGGCATTGTTCCAGGGCAGGAAACCACTTCAGAGGAGATGTCAGATGTTCACGGTCCCTCCAAGTCACAATTCATCCGCAAGTTCCCTGTAGCTCCAGAATTCAAGAGAATGTCTCAGGGAACTGAGCAATGACTAACAGTGTACATAAATGCTTGGTGACTTTGTGCCTGCCTCTCATGTGGGTCCTCTCACAGTCCCTGACTCTTTCTCTTTCGGTCTTCAGCCATCAGCCCAGCTTAATTTTTGACTCTTATGTAGAGGCTTTGTCACCTCCATCCTCAGCCCTTGCCATTAGAATGGATCCTTTTGGGGACAAGAGCCATACCTCATTGTCATGTGTGTCCTTGGTATATAATGGAGCACTAACAGGTGTGTGGGCTCACCATTCTCTCAGAACAGATCTCCCTGGCTGGAGTCGTTCCTTTCTTCCTGGACTTTCTTTCACAATCACTCACCCACTCAAACTGTGTCACTCTTGGTCCTTAGCCTTCAGTGACTCCCTGTGACTTATGCTAGCTTATGTAAATCTCCCCATCTATTACTTCCTTTTCTGTCATTTTAAAAACACATATGCACACATGCACACACATGTTCATAAATGCACACATACACATAGATATAGACACATATAATCGCATATGCACACATTACTCAGTGAGAATAATAAACATCTACCTCCCCACCTTTTAGTTGGTTCCAAAGTCGTTAATTTGGGAGACTATGCAGCCATCAATGTGTTGATGGCTTCACACTGGCTTTGCTCCAAGTGGCACTCTGAATGAAGCCATCCTGTTGTGTGAAAACTGCATTTCACTGTCTAGCCTGACTACAGTTGCATGTCACTGGCCCTTCAGGAGAAGTGGATTTTCTCTATCCCCCAGGATCTTCCAGCAAAGTCGTCCTTTGCCATCTTCCCCGTTCTTCGGAGGAAACAATGCTTTCTATTTTATAACAATTAGCTGCAGAATTGACTTCTCCTGGGGAAAGGAATTACAAAAACAAACCAGAAGGCACAGATTTGTAGGGTTTGTTGAGACAGCATCTCACAGAGACCAGGCTGGTCTCCATCTCCTTAAGTAGATGATGCAACCTTGAATCCTGATATCTTGCCTCTACCTCCCTAGTGCTGGGAGTACAGGTATATCCCACCATGCCTGGCAGAGACTTTATCAGTAACTTAACTTCAGATTTACAGAATCCAACACAGCCAGTCACCACAGTGGACAGCAGTCTGCACATCAGAGAGGACCACTGTTGGTTTAGATCCTGAAGTTCACTTGTCTCATGTGCCCTCTTGCTTCCCCATAACAGCCTGCAAACCCAAGGCAAGATGAGCTGGCTGCTGTTCAGGGTTTTTTTTTTCCTTGACCCAGCAACCTGATCTGGAGTCATTAGTCCTTACCAGTGATGAGCAACAAACGTGTATTCATGGCTACACACACGAATATACCATAAATACACACACACCACACCAAATACACACACATAAACATAAACACACCACACACACATATACAACACAACACACACACCACACATCATATATACACACACCACACATACGCACATATACAACACACAACACACACATACACACACATATACACACACCACACACATGCCACACACGCACACCATGCACACATACACACAAACGCACACAAACACCACAAACAAACCATCTAGCAGGAATCCCATCTCCTTACAGTCAGTCTCTCAGATCATCCATCAACCAAATGTCATCTGTCATTTCTTGTGTTAGCTGACAGTGTTCCAAGGGTCTTGGAGACATTTGCATCTTAATAGGGGCCTCTGAGGAAACAAAAGACTTTCAGGCAAAGGGCAATGAAGCTGTGCACTGAAGTGACAAGGGCAGAGGCAGATGGGTCCCATCTGTGGGAAGAGGAGCAGACCTGGCTAGGCTTGGGGAACACAAAGGCCCAGGGCTCAGGTGCATGCCCCAGTCCCAGCTCAACCAGTCATCCACACTGATGCCCCCGAGCCCAAGCACTATGGCTGGAAGGGCTGTTTCTCAAAGGTTTGCACCCTTGAGACCTCAAGGAAATTCACTGCCTTGGCCTCAGGCAACCCCAGATAACAGGGGGATCCTCCGGGAATGAGATTCAGAAGAGCTCTGGGCCTCTTCTACCCCTCCTCTCAATAATGTCACAAATAGATGTCTCCAGGCAGAAGTCTGGTCAAAACAGAGTCTTAATTATAATAAAGTGTCACACTCGGCAGTGTTAATAGCTATGAAAACAGCAATTAAGTGTGTGAAGAAGGGCAAGTGTTTTCCCAGAAGGCTCAGTGAGATGCTGCAGAGAGAGAGAGAGAGAGAGAGAGAGAGAGAGAGAGAGAGAGAGAGAGAGAGAGAGAGAGAGAGAGAGGGGGAGGGAGAGAGACAGAGAGAGAGAGAGAGGTGTGTGGGAGCCAGCACTGCAGGGGCAAGCAGTCCCCTCCTAGTTCGGAAAATGCGGATAGGAAGAGGGTCACAGTGCAGCCGTGAAAGTGGACTAAGGAACAGCATCACAGAGTGGAGTCCTTGGTCCCCAGACATCTTCCGAGCACTTTTGAGTTTGCAGCAGGAGATCCGACACCCACCCTTCCCCAGGCTTCTTCCTTGTCTAGTCTGGCTGCGTGCCACACAGATGCACCCAGGTGCAGCCACGGCCAAGGATCTTGCTGCTGAGGTACCCATCTGGGAAGAGGGGAAAGGAGGAAAAGGAAAAGAGGTGCATAGGGGCTGAGGGTGGCAGAGAATCTAGCAGATCTGTGGGACCACCGGCAGGTGACACATAGTACCATAATGGCCACATAGCAGTGAAATCTGTCAGGGACAGAAGGCGACCTAGTGCCAAGGACACGGACAGATTTTTGTTTTTAATCTCCAAGCTAAGCTGTTCTATTCAGATGCCTGGTGGTAGCCGTGACTGCTATGTGTTGTTTTGGTAAATTCAATAGCACTACTACCTCTTCTCAAATTAATCAATTTATTTGTTTGTTGGTTGATGTTTTGGTTACTGGGGATTGAATTCTGTGCCTGGTACATGCTAGGCAAGGATTCTACCATTGAACTTCTAAACTGAATTCTCCCCTTCTTGCTTTGGTTTTTGAGACAGTTGCTCAAGAGGGTCCCGAACTCTCTATCTTCTCTATCCTCGTTAGCCTCATGGAACACAGAGACTAAAGCTCTTATTCTGAATTTTGAGGGGTGTGTCATGCCCCGAAAGTTAGCGCCTTCCATTTTCCTTGCTCTTGTTGAGTGTTCCAAGAGTAAAAGCCTCAGGGATATGGGTTTACAGGAAGAGGTGGGCATATTTCCTCACAATGGCACCTGCCAGTACCAGGGAGCCCATGAGCTAGGAGTACTGGGTGCCTGAGGATGAGAAGCCAAGACTCAGACCTGAAGCCAAACCTGTTAGGCAGGATGCTACAAAGTGGGGGTCATCAGGTGACACCTTTTTCAGGTAGCTCTTTCTAATGCAGCTGGGATGATCAGGACCAAGGGCCGCAGTGGATCCTGTGTCCAGAAAAAGGGGGAGTTCCTGGTGCGAGTGAGCAGTGTCCCTCAACTTTAGAGGCCACAAATTGGTCCTGACTTCTGCTAGAAAGGTTCCAATCAGAAAACAAGGGAGGCATGGGGACCCAGAGCAGACAAGGATGGCCCAGTCAAAAGAGAGAGACGGGTGGGCTGATGAGGCTTACATAGGCGCTACGGATTTAGTCCAGAAAATGAACTTGCATCCTATGAAGTGAATGTCTCTCCACCTCAAAGATTAAAGGTTGTCACATGTCACTTGTATCTATTTCAATATCATGTGTCGGCCCATAGGGGTGCTAAAACATAGAAGGGGGACCGAAAAGATCCAACTGGCCTCTGACAGTGGTGGCTCCTGGGAGGAGCTGAGGTGAGAAAGTGGTGGGGGTGGGTTCAACGTTTATTGTTACTCTTTGTGAGTAGACGTGTTCGGGTATTTAACAATAAGAATGGATTCAAGATGCTGACCAGCTAGCCATCGGCACCGAAGAAACCCTTACAAGGAATGATTTCAGAGCACAGACAAAGAAGGAGGCTCTAGGATGGGGCTGAAGATTCCGTCCATACAAAGCTACTGCGTACATAGGGTGGCGCTATCATGAGATCTTGGAAGTCTTCCCCAAGATGGACATTCAGCCCTGAATTGCCCTGTTCTCTCAAGTCTCCATATTCCTCCTGCCTCCCAGCCATTTGGTCCCTGATGTTCGCTCTTCCTCTTTGCTCATACACCAGGGCCACCACCTTGGGTCCCACTCCCAGCAGTGCCATTCTGGAGTCGTCTCAGCAGTTCTGCTTAGAAGGACTGTTTTTTTTTTTTTTTTTTTTGACTTGTCACCAGGCTCTGACCAAAATGGCATCGCTGCCCTCACTGGGGAGCCATGCAGGAACTGACATTGCTCGGCTTTCCAGAGTGGCACAGCTGGGTCCTTAGCATACCCAGGCCCAACCCAGACAAATCTCCAGACCTTTATTAAACAGGCATTGGTCACCACTTGCTTTGGGTCCACGATGTCCACCAGGGGCTCCTTCATGGCGACATCCCGGATACAGGTCATGTCAAAACCATAGACGTTCTCCCACCCTGAGGAAAGAGAGCGGGTCATGAAGGCGAGCAACAGGACCCCCAAGCCCACCCAGTGGAATACTGTAAGCATCACACGCCTGCAAGCAGAGCCTTGTGGGGAATCAACTGCTCATTCACACCTCTAAAAAAGGCAAGACCCATTCGTTCTGTTAGCTCAGCCAGAGGTCAGAGAGACTGTGAAACTTCTGGAAGTTCACACATCTAGAAGACAACAGGGCGAAGACCCTTACACACAGGACCTGTGACTTCTGTCTCCTCTCCAGGTCATTCACTTCCCCATTTCTGGGTCTTTGCTCTACCTTTCTGTCCCCTACAGGTCCATATGAGCCTTAATTGCAGTGGAGAGAAACAAGGGCTCATTCACGGAACAGACTCAGGTTTGAGTCCTGGCAGCATAGCTTTTCTTCGGACACCAGGCAGACTCCCGGCCTGATCTCTCAGAACCCCAGCTTGATCAATTGGTGGGTCCAGGAGAGTGCTCACCTTACCCTCATACCATCTGTCTGAAAAGCACTCGCTAAGGGTTCACCCCATAAGAAGTCACCCTATGTGGGAGGCAACCAATCTTACAGGGCTCTGGGCCACTTGGACTACTCATGGAATGCTTTGGGAAGGAGAAAGAATTAGGGTGTAGGAGCTGATAAGTGAGTTTGAGTCTGAGGGCCTAAGACCACCCTTCATTGATGGTGCTAATTGCTATTACTGAGTAGTCACCTTGGTCTAATATACCCAACAACCCCTTGAGGGTGCCTTCAAGTTACAGATGAGGAAACTAGCCTAGTTAAGTTGGCATCTGGCTCAAACACAAATGCTGAGCCAAAGTCACACACCAGCCCAGCGACACCAACGTGGAGCTCGGAAAAGAGCCAAGCTGACCCCCTAATCTTCCAGCTGTGTCTCAGTGCAACAACAGCCAGGCATACAAAGTTCTCTCCCTCCCAAGAGGAGGGCCTGGCTGGGGCTCTGGTCCCTGGGAAGCTGGATCTCATCTGTTAATTCTAAAGCAGTTATAAATGCTTTGAAGTAAAGATGCTTTTGTCTAAAATCTTATTAAATGTAAATTTTCTCTAAGTGTTCATAGCAGAAATGGTGCCTTGAGGAGCTCAGGTCCCTGTGTGTGTTGCAGAGAGTGGGTGTGGAAGAGGGAGGTTGAATGGCCAGTGAAAGAATTGCTGTTCTTTCCTAAGGTACACAAAGATCTCTGGGGTGGGGAAAGCAGCGGCGAGAACAATCATTTCCCAGAGAGTGAGTGCCCGTGAGCTCCTGCTTGCAGAGAAGATGCCAGTCATGGCCATCCAATCACAGGAGACCGCTGACAAACTCCTGGTTGAGACCGACATTGCAGGGGCTGGGAAGTAGCTCATCTGGGAGAGGACTTGCCTGGCATGATGAAGCCCTGGGTTCCATCTCCAGGACTGCATAAAACTAAGTGTTTTATGCATAGAACTCAGAGGTGGAGGTGGGAAAACCAAGAGTTCAAGGTCAGCCTTGGCTACATAGTGAGTTCTAAGCCAGCCTGACTACAGAAGACTCTGTCTCCATGATAGATAGATAGATAGATAGATAGATAGATAGATAGATAGATAGATAGATAGAATCCACATTGTGGAAAAGGAGCCATTCAGTGGGCAACAGGTTAGGCCTCAGAGGAGACCCCCCTATAGGATCTGGAGGCAGCTAGCTACCCATTCCGTTCCCAGATGATACATATACTGAGACACACTGCCTTAGGTTTAAACCCCTCCATGAAGATACCTGCAGCTGTGCACACATTCTTCAGCCCCTGTGCCCCTCCCTCCAGGAAAAGCTCTTTGTAAGTGTTCAACAAAATCCTCAGAGATGGCGTGTGTGATGACAGATAGCCTGGGTGTCTGGGATTCAAATCTGAGCTCGTCTGTCCATTTGCTGTATAACTTAACAAAAGCGTGAGTTTCTCCAAGGCTTGGTGTTTTTTTTTCTTATAAATGGAGCTGGTGGTGATAACGATGGCTATTCCCCAGGGCGCTTTTGAGCATTGATGAGACACTATATGCCAAGTGCCAGAGAGAATGCCAGGTACAAAGAAAGACCTTGGCGTGTGGCAGTCATCACACTGAGCGGCCCTGTGCAGACCAAGCCTCTTCTCCAGACCTGCCTATCTGCAACAGGAAGGGTTTGTCTCAGTGTTCATGTGTTCTGGAATCATCTGGAATGCTTTTTAAAGTGCAGCTCCTGGGTGCTGGTCAGACCTACTGAACTAGACTCTAGATGGGAGACTCAGGAAGCTGGACTTTCCCAAACATGGTCCTTCCACCCAGAGTTAGAAAGCCTTCATGTTGCTTGATCTTCTGAGATTTTTCTCAGGTCCTGAATTAACATTTGCAAATCCTTTTCTAGCTGCTGGGGGCCCTTCCATGTCCTCCACACCCTCAGCATCTGGCACAGCCCAGGCCTGCGGCTGGCTCTTCTCAAGTTGAAGATCTTCACAAACGGAATGTTTTCTTTCTCTGCACATGCCTCGTCCTCTAGGTACCGTTACTGGGGCTAATTGATGTCCTATGTCCCCAGCTAGACTGTCCCATTGAAGCCATTTGGGGACAGGAGCATCCAGCACCTTCACAAATGTGTTTTCTTGGTTCTGCCGACTGGCTGTTTTCCATTAGATTCTCTTGGTGGTGGTGAGGCAGAAACGGGAGGATGTGAATCCGGCCTGTTAACTTTCTATTGCAAGGATATATTGTCTGTGGAAGTTCTGAAATTACTTATTAAAGTAACATCAGAGGGTTCTGAAAATCTTTTGTTGATGCAAGGACATTAATTCCGAAACAGAACCATGATACATCACACTAAATGTTATTAAGGTGACCTCAGAGCCAATGATTGCAGGCCTATTTGACTGAAGCCCCTATTTCGAAAGTCTGTCAGAGCAAAAAACCTCTTCTGGGTGTAAATATCCTTCGCCTCTTTGTGTTGCTATATAACACACAATGCACAGCACCAGTGAAGAATCACAGGACACTGAAAAGGGCACACACATGACCCATCATCCGAAGAGAAGGAGTGGGGCAGACTCGGCTATAGGAATTGCTTAACAGAGACAATAGAGACTATAACAAACACGTTAAGGAATCCAGGGGGAAATGTAAAGGATGTGTAACAGATGGGAAGAAGACTTCATCAGTGAGAGAGAAGCAGCGTCTTTAAAGGCCAATGAGATTCTCCAAACCAGAATCACGCTATCAGAGAAAGAGAATGCCCGTAATCAGCTCGTTAGTGGAACATGGATGGACACATCGAGAAAATGATCGATAAACCTAAAACCGGTTCAATAAAAATAACCCCAAATTAAACACAGTGAGGAAAACCACCTAAAGTATAATATCAAACACATTTTTAATGAAGATGAGGAAGATCAGACAGAGAAACATGCACATTTGTATGGATGATGGCTAATTTTTTCCCAGATTAATGAGATAATCAACATACAGATCTTAGCGTTATATATAATACCATCAGGATGCATACAAGGAAAACACACCCAGATAAATCAAAGTGAAACCTGATAAAGGGAGAGATAGAGACCGAGAGCAATACACAGAGAGAGAGACACAGACAAGAAAGACATATGCACAAGATAATGTCTCAAAACCAGCCTAAGAAACAGAAATGCAAATTCCTGGGAGACAAACAGAATGCATATTGGAAGTGCAGCAACTGCCCCTCCCTTCCTCTGGCACAAAAGATCTGAGTTTCACTGTGAGAGCTGAAGGTCAGGGCTACTGGCTCAGAACGCCTCCAGAGGTAAACAGAAGTACCCCAACGTGCCATGTACAGCCGCTCTGAGCAGAACAGAAGGTGTTTGTAACAACTTCAAGCATTTTAGGCTGCAGTAGCAACGTAATGGGGGAAAGTCCTTATATATAATGTATAGGTTCAAGATATAAGGGGCAGAGAGTAGAAAAACCAGATGGACCCCAGCCCTCCAGGAAACAGAGCCTGCAACCCCCAGCAACAGCACAGCTGTCTCTATGCTAGGCCTTCTTCTGGCTCCCCACCCTCTTGACCCTCAGCTGACTGGAGATTCTAGTATTGGGGGATTTGTGCCAGGGATGGACTGGAATAGACAACCCACCTTTGAGACTCCGTAAGTCTCCTCTGCAGTAGGGGACAGTTTCCTACTGATTGCTCCTCTTTCAGATTCAAATCCACCTTGCACATCCCTCTGACATGTTTGCTATTCCTTGCTTTGCTCAACAAAGCACGCACACCCTGAGCCAGTGCCAGTCAGGCCCCTGGTCCTTTCTGCCCGGTGCCCTGCTAGCTGGTCACCAGAGGAAGGGCAGGGCCTGCTTTCTGTTGTGTGCTCATGGCTGAGAAAGGGGAGAGAGGAAGAGAGGGGAAGGGAGGAGCAGGAGAGGGCATGGGAAAGGAAACTTTCAACCTCAACAGTTTACTTTCTGTAGGGCTGTGCAAACTCCACATTTACAGTGTTCCTGTGGTTCCTGGGCTGATTGAAATTTCCTGTAACTGTTCCCTTGGCAACCAGCAACCCAAAGCTGTTGTTTGAAACACATTTCTTTAAATGGGCCCATTTCCTTTAGCTAAAAATGTGTCTTTAAAAGAAAAACATTTAAGTAGAAAATTTAACTGTATCCTAAGTGAAATCTAAACACTAGAATCTTGTTCTTTGGGAATTTGGGGGTTTTGATGTTGGTTGATGTTGCTTTTGCTTTTTTAACTGTGGTGCTGAAGTTTGGAGCTAAGTAAGTACTCTACCACAGAACTATAGTATTGGCCTTTTTAAAAAATACTCCAAGGTAAACTCTTTTAAGAGAAAAAAAATGGGGCCTGACTTTTGGTTTTCTTCAGTTTTTGTTTGTTTGATCGTTCGTTTGGTTTTCTCCTTTCCTGAGCTGTAAAGGCAGCTTTAGGAACTGCGAGAAAGAATGACATGTTCTCCAGTTCTGGGCTGTCCCCTAAGCAGCAGTCACTGTCCCTTCTTCTGCTGGGTTCAGAATGGCTCATTGCAAAGTGCTTGCTCCAAGGACTCCCAGCAGGTTCTGGGGAGGGAGATGGGGAGGAAGTGAGCTTGTTCTGGAAACTGCAAGGCAGTTTCGTAAAGAGCTTTCCTCGGAGATCACTAAATATTTAAGTAGATGTGAGTGAGGAATGGTCTCGAATGTTCTCCCACACGCTACTCAGTGCAATTACTCCTCACAAGCTCCACTCTGTCATTCCAGGGTGATCTCTTTACACACACACTTGGCTATGTTCACCGCTCAGTGGCTTCTTCGATGAGGAGGTGGATGTGAGGCCCATATTCCAAGACACCAGAGGCCGGCAGGCTTGTCAGAGCCTGGAGCAGAAGAAGATGCTGGTTTACTACTTCAGAGGCTGGACCTGGCCTCTCTCTATGCAGACACAAACTGTGGTGTTCTTTGGCATGTATCATCTGATTTAGTCCTTGTGAGTCACTGGGATTGAGGGCATGGCCTCTCCCTGGGGCTCAAAGTCAGGTAACCTGTTCAAGGTTACTTTGCCAGTAAATGGCAAAGCCCACATTTAAAACCCTGAGGTTGGTAGGTATCAAAGCCTTCACCCACGTCACCCCACGTGGTGACTTTCATTCAGAGTCCTATGTCCTCGTTTCTAATTTGGGGTCAAATATTAGTAATGACAGTGACCTAGGTTTCCAGGGCGTGAGCTTCAAGCCACTCCTTCATTGACACTTCTGGACTTTGAACTTCACTGTTTGGCCTTCAGCTTCCAGAAGGGTGTGTGCACCCTCTGCAGCTGTCTCCCCAAGCAGGTGAAGTGGCCCAAGGATGTGAACCTTAGCTTGCAGACTGCTGTGCAACCTAAAACTGCTTCCTCCCTCTTGCTTCTGGTTTGGATGCTGGTGTGTCAACTGTTTAAAGGGCTCTTCGCTCCATTGCCACTTGCGGTTCCAGGTGACATGGCCGTATCTCACCTGACAGAAATACACTGGGTACCAGTCCATCAAACGCCAGACCCAGGTCACTAAGAAATATAACTTTTAAAATGAAATAGAATAAAATGGTCCTATAAAATCAGATAAAATGTTGGCAAAATTGGTTTTTGTTTGTTTGTTTTATTTTGAGACTGGGCCTTTTTTTGTATGCCAGGCTGATATTGAACTTGAGATAATTCTCCTGTCTCAGTGTTCCACCCCCTCCCGAATGCTGGGATTAGCGGAATGAGCTACCATATCTGCTTCTTTTGTTTGAAGTAGTGTAGAGAGAAATATGGGGTCTTGACATGTAGCTCAGGCTAGCTTCAAACTTATGATCTTCCTACATTAGTCTGAGTGCTGGACTATAGGAATATAGCACCACATAGAGCCATTTGCCTGAAAGAAGACACCGTTCTAACTTGTAAGACACTATGAATACATATTTACATCTGAGCCCCTGCCCCCCCCCCCCACGCACACCACACTATCTAATATGTTGAGAGTTTCTACTCCTCCCCACCTCATCACACATATCCCTTAAATGAACCTTGGAGAAGAATCCATATTTTACCTAATGCGATGCAGAGTCACAGTGATTTAGACCAACTTATAGGCATGGAGGCAGGTTTCAAAATGGTTGGCTTGATGGAAACCCTGCTTCACCTAACCCCACATCCAAGCCACCTGCCCTGCTATTTTTGACACAAACATAACCCCAACTGCCCGGGTTCCTCGCTCCGTTCTCACTCCCGTTACCAGCTACTTTGTTTATTTATACTCTGTAGACCTCCCGCCCTTGGAAAAAGAGAGAAAGACTCCATAGAAGAATCCCAAAGGGTCACAGATAAACTCTCCCAGGACACCGGCCGTCCACCCTGAAGTTCCTCTCACCCCCAGCACCCAACAGACGTTCAACAGAGAACCGTAAAGTGACTTACAGTGGATTTTGAAGTCCTTGTACTGTCTGTCTTCAATTGCTACCACGTATAAAGCTGCCCGGTCTGGAAACATAAGCCCTCCAGGTTTCTGTTGATGAATTGTGGGGAAATGGGTCTCGTAATCTAGTCACCTGACAAAGACATCACATTTTGAACTGCACATAGAGTCACCAGACAAGCACCGCCCCCTTGCCAGCACTTCTCACTCAGTGGACTGACGGCTTGGCCGGACATGGCTGTAACTCTGTGTTTATCTGGAGCAGGGGGAATCTGAGGAGCCCAGGTGGAGCTGGCAGGACATGCGGAGGCAGAAGGCAAATCAAGGAGTGACAGAGAATCAGCCTGTGGCTTGGTGAAGCCAGAGCCAGTGCTGCTGACTCTGGCAGTCTTAACAAGAGGAGATGGCTTTCTGCTCTAGCCACAGGGGACGAAGTTAGACCTCCTGTGATGAAGCATGCCGACAGCGGGGCATGTTGGGCCAGGGTTGATCACTTGTTGCCCTGAAGTAGTTATGCCTTGAAGGGGACACTACCAGACAGCGTTCTTCTAGCCCATTCCTCTCTGAAGTCCTCCTAATTCCTCCCAGGCGGGAAGCTATGGGAGGGAAATATGGCAAGGCTGCCATCAGAGCCATGCGGGGAGAGCATGCGGACCACTTACCAACCACTTGTCCCTGGCAAAGATCACCGTGTTGAGCATGGACTCATAGAACAGACAGTAACCCATCCACTCGCTGATAATGATGTCCACTTTCTCCACGGGCAGCTCCACCTCCTCCACTTTACCCTTAAATATGGTAATAACTAGAAAACAAGAACCCAGAGCCATGCTGTGCGAGGACCTCCTAGGCACCATGGGCTCCTTGCTGCAGGACTGCGGAGTTTTGAGCCCCATACTCGTCCCTGCTTTTAGGGTGTGACTTACCTTATCCTTCATCAGAGGAACTTACACAATCTCTGAAAATGCTAAGGTCTTTGAACGCTACTTGAGTGTGTCCCTCATCAAAGGGACTGGACAATTACTCTGCACCTGACTTTGCTAGGCCTGCAGAAGGCACCGTGTTATGTAATCCGCCTTAAGAATCAGTGCGTTATCATTATCCCCATCTTCTCTTTCAGCTAAGGAAACTGAGGTCTCGAGGTGAGATGATGGTCCAGGTCTGATGGAAAAGGACTGTAACGGTCCTACTGTGCACCCCCAGTTCCATGTAAGGTTACCTTGGCAACTCGCCCAAACTGAACAAAGGACACCCCACGTGTTGCTCTTGCATCTGGACACAGCCACGGCCCTGTACTCAGTGGCTGCCCTCCTAGTGTCTGTGAAGGAGGTAAATTGGTGTTTTGACAAGACCATGGACTCAGCAGACAGAGAAACCCAGGGTTAAGTGCTGGGGCTTCTAATTAGCTGTCTGGTTTTACACACATCGCTTGGCCATGAAGTTCCCATCCAATTCCCCAAAGAATAGCAGAGAGCATGAGGTCTCTCTCGGGCATGGTTGTGTGGGGGAAATGAAGCAACACCTAGGAAGTGCCAGGCCTCTAGCTGAGGCTCAACAGAAGGTAGCCAGAGCACACACATTCCTTATTTAACAATATATGGAGGGGAGAAAAAAGGAAACCCCCCCTCCGTGAAAAGTGACTTTCCATCGCACTGCAGCAGGAGAATTATGTTAGTTGAGTTTTTGACCAGTTGACCCAGGGGGACACACACTTTTTGTATTCTTTGATGCACAGATGGAGAGGAAAGGTAACCTTAAGGCCTGCTGTGACAGTGGAGGAGTGTTGGGTGGTTGCCTGGTCCCTTCTTAACATCTCTGCTGAAAGGCCACACGTGTTCATGCTCTGAACCCCTCCTTCTGTGACAGCCCCTGGGAAAATCACGCTAACAAAACTGAACAGAAGGCCAGACCTCAGAGTCACAAACCAAACAAACCATGTCTGCCTCGAATCCAAATCCAAGGCAATTAATTTGGGCTGGAGGCTCGTCTCTAGCAAAGGGCACACAGGTCAGGGCCTCTTTAGTGTCTTCACAGTTAAGGGCACCATCAGCAGCCTGGTGGCGGCTCCCTCTTTACTGCCTGGCTAATCAAGGCTTATTAATAATTTCTAAGGTGTCAGAATCACATTCACCCACCCTCACCACCCACCACGGAGGCCTGTGTGCCCTGCCTGGTCAGCATTTGTGACCCCTATCCCCAAGAACGAAAAGCACAGCAAGGCCAGACTTCTCCAAAACCTTTGGAACAAGTGGGAGAGGCAAGTGTTAAGCCTGTGTTTTTTTTTCCTTTGTGGGGGGGGGTAGCTGAGATGATGAAGAAAGAATTCAATAAGAGAAGGACCCGGTGGCACACCTTGGGAATCCACAAGTGGACAAAACCAAGGGCTTTGGGAAGTGCCCACAATTAGAATAGTCTAATTTATTTCTCATTCTGCAGGGGAGCCAGCAAGCACAGTCATGCCCTTCTGCCCAACGAACAGCTTGCAAAGCCTGGCTTGTTTTATTTTTGTCCACAGTTTTACACTGTCTAATGGCCTTCCTTTTTCTATTTTCTTTGCACATCTCCTAACGTTTATATGCAGCCAAACTGTTTTGGATTACTTTGTCATCTTGTAATATGGCCTTCATATGGTCCTAGATGAGACTCTTTCCGCCTCTGGGTCCTTGTAACCCCACTCTGGGGGCTTAATGCAAGGCTCCAGCCAGGATGACCTCAGAGATAGGAAGGTTTAGTTTTGGCTTATAGTTAGAGGACATAGTCCATTTACAGGAAGCCGGCATAGCAGGCCTGTGGGGCAGCCAGTTATACTGCATCTGCAGTAAGAACCAGAGAGATGAACATGGGTTTGTAGTTGATTTTTTTCTTTTCATTCATTCCTGGATCCTGGATCCTGGACCATGGGATGGTGCTGCCCACAGTTAGGATGGGTCTTCCCATGTCAGTTAATATAATATAGTAACTCCCTCATAGACATGCCCAGAGATTATCTCCTACGTCAAGTTGACAGTCAGTATTAACCATTACCCATATATGCATGTATGTAATATATATAACCTCTATTTGTATGTAATATATACATATTACATATATATATATTTCTATCTATCTACCTAGGTTCTATCTGAGTTGTCTATCTGCTCACTTACTTATCTATTATAGCCCATACTGATCAGAATATAGTAGCAAATGAATCAGAAGTCTAGCACAGGGAACAGGGAGGTCACCCAAGGAATATTCCGTACATGTGTGTTTATCAGACTAGACTAAAAGCACACATTATCTATTATCTCCCATAGCTTCATCATCAGCTTGACTGGACTCAGAATCAGCATGGAACTATGTACCTCTGGGTGTGTCTAGGAGGATGTTTCTGGAAAGATTTAATTGAAGAGGAAAATGCCATCTGAATGTGGGCAGTCCTACCCCATGGCCTGGGTTCCCTAACGAATGGAAGGGAGAAAGGTCACTAGCATTCATCTCCCCTTGCTTCCCGGCTGCTGGTGCAAAGGGCCTCATTCTGCTTCCATGCCTTCCGTGCCCTGGATGGAGGTCATCAACTGTGAGCCGTAAATTCACCTTAAGTTGCCTGTGTCCAGGATTTTTGTTACAGCTGTGAGAAAAGAGGCCAGACCCACATCCAACTCACCAGAGACGCTGCCTTGATGTCTCTAGCCAACACCTGGAACATCACAAGCTACAAGATGCTTGACAGGGCATGTGTTGGCTGTTTGGGGGCTACAGACTCTCGGAAAGCAGGAGGCGGGCTCACAGGACCGTGTAAGTATACACAGCTCTATTTCCCTTCTCCACAGGAAGGCCGTTGAGGGGCAGAAGCTAGCATCCCCAAGGCTCAGAACAGTTAGGCTACGGATCCCCTTGCCCAGTCTGGACCCCCACAGCACCAGGGCAGCATCGGCTCAAGGTGGCTTTGAGGTCGAATCTGGAGCTGTGTTTCCAGGCCATAAGTATGATGGAAAGTTTGTCCGACTAGCTGTGACAGGACCCTGGCTCATAAATTTTACAGTGATTAATCATGGCTAAATGTACCACAGGGAGCCATAGGTTCTAACTTGGGAGTTTTACCCTCTGGCTTCAGCTGGAAAATTAGACAACTAGAATTCAGTTGTTGTTGCTTGTAATGGGATTTTCTTTCTTTTTTTATTTGAGTCGTTATTACAAAATAAATTAGACGAGCCTAACCTGATTTGGGATTTCAATGTATCCATCAAAATCAGGTGGCCCCATAAGGCCTGCAGCTCATGGTATGTCATTTAATTTTTATTTTAATTATCCATTTGTTTTTATTTTTATTTACTTCCTGTTTTGTTTTTTAGCTAGGACCTCATCCTGTAGCCTAGGCTGACCTAGAACGTACTATGTATCCTGGACTAGCTTCAAACTCAGAGGGAACCTCCTGCCTCAGCCTCTTAAGTGCTAGATTACAGGCATGAGCCATCCTGCTTGTCTAAGCACTAATTCTGTCCCACGGAAAAGTGAGCAATAAGGTCACAGTCCCCAGGTTAGGAAATGCATTATGAATTCCAAAGCCCCCAGTTCTATCACTGCAACCACACCAGAACCCCTCTCTCTGCAAGTGCTTTGCTTAGTCTCCTGTTTGGGTGACACCCACAATCATCACTATGCTTCTTTGGCATCAGCCCGTGACCCCCTCTCCAAGTTGCTGATTTTAGCTTCCGGTTTCCAATACCTGGGAGAGCACGCGGTTTCTCCACAGACTTTCTAGACATCTTCTCACGTGGATGGATAGATGAATAAGCAATTAAAAACAAACAAAGCAAGGACATTGGTTTAAAAGACCAAAGAGCTGCAAACCAGTCCTGATTATACTAATAAAAAATGATCAACATCAAAGCAGCTTGAAGAGCAGTTTCACATGAATGAAGTTAACTATCCTCCCAGAGAGAATGTTGCTGCATTCATCTACCTATAAAGAGAACGGACATCTAGAAGAGTCTAAACCGGGTCCATGGAGTCACCTGAACAACTCACACAGCCCCACTGAGGCTCCTGGCCCTACTTTGTGAATGTATAATCACTGCTGACCTTGCAGCACCTGGGACAGTGTGGGCAGTGGGCAATACTTGCCAGGGGGAAGGGAAGACGTTGAAGGATGGAAGGATTGTCCTGTCCTTCTCAAGGCTGCTCATGTGAGCGAATGAGGGAAGAGCAGAATAAATGTGGGCAGTGAGGCTTGGTCAGAGCTACCAAGATTCCTGGGCATCAACCCATACCCTGCCTCTGTACCCCATGTTCTCTAGAGCCCAGGCACTCCATAAATCTCCTTCTCACAGAATCAGAGCCTGCGCACCACAGTGCACTGGAGTCTTTCTCTGCATATCTCGTGGCCCTGCACCACCAGATTCCAGTAGCACAGGTGGGCCCTGGGTGTCACGCAGCCTCAGTGTACTGTATACAACAAAATGGTACCCTCTCCTGGTCCAGATCCCTATTCACCCAGATCCGGGAGCTTGAGAGTCCACCCCTCTCCCAGGGCATGCTTCCTATCGGAGCCAGCTCCAGATTTCTGAAGGACTTGGGGGACCATTCTGCTAAACTAGGGCTCCGAAGACCCATTGGTTTTCATCAGCGGACTTTCTAACTGGAAACGGCACCCACCATAATGCTCTCTCCAAATCCATCTGAGGATTTCTACCCAACCCAAGCCATCCCTGAACACTGAGAGGCACTGGCAGGGTCTGGTCTGCTTAACTCCCAACACAATGGCCACTTGCAGGCCTGGCCCACATGGTTATTAAGAACGAAACTGTACCCAACAGAATGATT